ACTTCATTTGAAGTTACCACTATATTGTGGACCGGTAATTTCTCCAACAACAACCAATTATTACAATTACGTGTTATTCGAATAGAATAGAATTTGATATCATTACTTGGGTTTTTACGTAAGTGGTAACATATTTGCACTACATTTCCAGCTTATTATCAACTATCGCTTTCACGCTTGCTTCTGAAACCGGTGTTAGTGGAAAGTAGGACATCGCAAGACGGCTTTGAGATACTTTTCATTGATGCCGAGGCAATGAAAACATACAATATCCTTCTTTTATTTTGAGCATGATGTACACTTTCGTTAATAAACAGGTATCTTTCTGTAATATTGTGTCCACACGGTCTTGATATTACGTCGGTCGTAATACAATACAATGATATATGCTGCGCATGGTGAAATATTTGTTTTGTCCCATCAAATGCACCATGTAAAAACTAATGAAAATTTTCGAAATGTTATGCCAAGTTTGTATGTACATAAATAAAATAACATACGCGGAATTTAAAAATAAAAAAAATACAATATTAAAAGTAGCAAAATAATATTGTGAATACAATTAATTTAAAGTTGTTAAGAGATTAAGATTATTATCTTAGAATGACTGACAAACATTACACATATAACGAAATTAAAAATTAAAATATCCTCCCATTTATCGAGCGGATCAGAAATGTCATCAATCTGCGGAGCTAAGTGGAGTTAATTCTGCGGAGAAAGGATCCTAAGACGACAGTCAGCATCTTTATTCTTTATCATAGGAACGGAGATTCTAAGATGGATTGATCTTTTTTCGTATTGTTAACAATAGTGAGTCCTTATTGGGTCATATTGCTCTTATTACGGGTTACGTGTCTATCAGGAAGTCTGTGCAACTAGAAGATACCCAGATACATTTTAATATGACGCGGAACGAAGTACTACTTCATTTGCTACCACACAAAAGGCCATTCAACTTAAAAGGTTACCCATTCATCAACGAAGAAGTTTATGTAGGCAATGAATTATTCTCGTCTTATTGTATGATCTGACTGTTCCTTCTTGCAAATTGCACATAGAAAAATGATATGCAAAAACCTTTGAAAAAAAGTGTTGCGCCGATTTTCAAACACCTCTTTTTGATGTTCATTATACAAATCGGAGTTGTTAGTTTTGAAATCCTCGCTCTTATGCCTTAATTGTACGTGCGAATCATCTCCAGTATTATAACGTCTACAAGATCTTCTGTTGGCTTTGTATCGACCATATCATACATTGTACATCGCGATTCAGCACCGGTTGAAAGCATCTGTGAGTCAGGAAATTCTCGTAGCTAGAATGCGAGCCTGCGGGTAACCCCACAGGAGCAGCAGTTGCCGTGACGGACGCCGGCAGCTGCCGGAGAGACGCGAGACGCGGATCTGAGCGTCGCGCCGCCTGGTTGACCCCGATCGTCGCGCGTTTGTTTGCTTCTTCCGCGGGAAGCGTCCGGGGCGCATCTGGGACGCCCCCCCCCCCCACTGCGGCCAAATCCGTTGCCGTCGCCTCTCGACCAGTGCCACCGTCGCAACAGCCGTCGTTGCCGCTGCCATCACCATCTCTACGGTATCAAAATCACCATCATTTCCAGGAGAGATGGCTCATGGCGTCAACTGGTGTCACTACTGTCTTTGACCTGGGAGAACCTGGGAGAGCCTGGAATAACCTGGGAGAACCTGGAATAATCTGGAATAACCTGGAATAACCTGGGAGAACCTGGGACAGCTTGGGAGAGCCTGGGAGAGCCTGGGAGAGCCTGGGAGAGCCTGGGATAACCTGGGATAACTTGGGATAACCTGGGATAACCTGGGATTACCTGGGAGGTCCTAGGTTGGAATCCCGACGATGGCACGGTTTTCGACACCAGTTACATTGCTAGGTCGAATTCTGGAGGCCGTTGTCTGGAGGAGAATTCTGACATTTGGGTTGGGGGTAACCACGCTAGCCAACGGGAAATTGGGCGCCGGATCTCACCATTCAGGAAGATCGCCGTCACCTTCCGAGAAAGAAAACATGCACTACACAGATGGGACTAACGATCAGTCGTTGACGTGCCCGGAATCATCAATCAAAATCAACCATCACCACTATCTCTACCACGAAGATCACTTAAGCCACCACGTATCCCACCGTTACTAACGCTGCCCGTTCACCATACAAAGGAGAAGAAACAGAAGCCGCAACATGTTTTTGATGTCGAATAAACTAAATCTTATCAAATGAGAGACTTGTTAAATTTAAGCAATTACGTAGAAACCTTGGTGCTGATGGCATGTACGAAATATCCACAAAGAAACAGCCAAGGGCAGTAGTCGCTGACTCCAACTCGTTTCTCAACAATACGCGTGTCGATCAACATATCGACATCCGTCGAGGTCAGCAAGTGGTCTTCCTACGCAACGGATCTGCAAGGATGCAGTGACGCCCAAGGGGGGGGGGGGGGGGGCAGCTGGGGCAACTTGCCCCAGGCCCCGACAAAATTGGGATCTCGATTTTTTTCATTGAAAAGAAAGGGAAAATATTTTTATCTCTAATCCAAATTTAATGCTATAATGTTATATGTTGTTTCTGTTGCATATCGAAATGAATTTTGTTTATGATTGAAAAGGAGGGGAGGTTTTTTGTTTGAAATGAGGGGCCTTCTTGGTTCAAGTGTCCCTGGGCGCTAGTTTTCTCTGGGCGCCCCTGAAAGGGTGCCAACATCCGATGAGGTGTACCTGGAGTCATTAGTGGGCGGGCGGGGGCGGACTGGGCGGGCGGGGGCGGGGCGGACTGGACGGGGCGGGGCGGACTGGACGGGGCGGGGCGGACTGGACGGGGGCGGGGGCGGACTGGACGGGGCGGGGCGGACTGGACGGGGCCGGGGCGGGACTGGGCGGTGCGGGGCGGGACGGGCGGTGCGGGGCGGACTGGGGCGGTGCGGGGCGGAGCTGAGCGGGTGGGGGCGCGACTGGGCGGTGCGGGGCGGACTGGCGGTGCGGGGCGGACTGGGCGGTGCGGGGCGGATGGGCGGGTGCGAGGCGGACTGGGCGGTGCGGGGCGGACTGGGCGGTTGCGGGGTCGGACTGGCGGTGGCGGGCGGGACTGGGCGGTGTGGGGCGGACTGGGCGGTGCGGGGCGGGACTGGGCGGTGGCGGGGCGGAACTGGACTGGACTGGACTGGACTGGAACTGGGGACTGGGACTGGGCGGTGCGGGGCGGACTGGACTGGACTGGACTGGACTGACTGGACTGGACTGGACTGGACCTGGACTGGGCGGTGCGGGGCGGACTGGACTGGACTGGACTGGACCTGAACTGGAGCTTGGACTGGACTGGACTGGACTTGGACTGGACTGGACTGGACTGGATGGATGGAAACTGACTGGACTGGGCGGTGCCGGGCGGACGGACTGGACTGGACTGGGCGGTGCGGGCGGTTGGTTTGGGCGGGGCGGGGGTGCGGCGGGCGGAGCCCTGCCTGCCAGCGCGGTGGGCGTGGTCGCTTCCGGGAGACACGTCTGCCCGTGGACGCTGCTCTACGCAACGGCGCGTTGAAATTCCCGTGCGACGTGGTTCGCGCTCGTAACGGATCTCCGCGTCCAACAGAAGGCTGAAAGAGAGAGCGATTGTTCCTGGAAAGAATAGCAATGGGAATGAAGTGGCCCCTGAATCAGTGGTGGTTGCGTTCGTTAATGATTGATTGATTGATTGATTGATTGAAATAGTTTCAAAAGACATGAAGAAAAATTGTGTTCAACCTTGGAGAACTCGAATACTATATATAATGTTTTCTTTACGCTCGTGACCAGAATATCGTTTAATTTCATGTTAATTACTATTTATAAGTAGCGTGTAAGTATGTGATAAATATCGAACAGTAAAATTAAGTAAGATAACGTAAAAATTAAAATCCTTCTGAACTCTAATTATTTCATTTGATTTTTTTCCTATTCGAGATTTTTTTGTGATTTCAAATTGCAAATAAGTTTTGACAAATAAGAATGCTCAATTTCTATCATTTTGTTAACACCTAATTGTGTAAACTATCAATTGACAATTGTTAAAGCTACTGTATTGTAATGCAGTTTATTTTCTTTTATGGAAACTGTCGAAAAGTAGAGTTTATTACGGAGCACTTTAAATTAAAAGTAACTGCTTACAAATTATTAATTTCTTTACAATAGAAACTGTTCTAATTTCCGATAAACGAACAGCTTTTTCGTCAGTGAAAGAAACCTTTTAGATCAGTGTTTTTATACCAACTAGTACAGGGGTCGGCAACCCGCGACCCCAAGGCCTTCTATTATTTATAGAAACTTTTCACAACGTGCACAACCAAGTTCAAAGTTGATATTCGGGAGCTGGCGTCCAAGACATGGCAGTTACTGGACCTTTCTGAACTGTTATTGTTATCGTATTTATTATCTCCGTTAATAAAATTATGTTATAGAACTCTAAAGGCTAGACTCACTCTAGAATTAGCGTGTTTCTTCGCTTCATTATTGAACCAGGATCCCAACATTGTTTTGACGTAGTACAAAAAATTATTGAATTATATCTTAAATTTGTTTAATAAACGGTAAGTTGGAGATAAATGAGGCATGCGAGCTACTGGGTATTTTTAACAATGTGACTCGCAGTCACAAAAGGTTACCGTCCCCTAAACTAGTGTAATTGTAACATTTTAGAATAAGAAAACTACAGTGCACCAGCAAAGTCTCTCCACCAGTGGCACCAGCAGTTGGTGAGAGTGCTAGCAACAGGAATGTCGTTGACGGCACTCCCTGCAGCTTGTAAGAAGTAAATTACATTTTCACCACAATCAGAATAGATGGTTGAAGTATTGTCTCCTTCACTTGTTTTGCAGTGATCTGGTTGCTACGAACACAAACGCAGTTTTTAATAGTAGCCCCTGATTCGAGAGACTTTCCTGGCGCTTCCCTCTGTATCAATCCGGAGAGCTGCGATGGCTAATGCGTGTGTGTGTGTGTGCGCAGGCGCCGCTGGAGCTGCGCAAGCGCCTGGACGAGCTGCGGCTGCTGGAGTCGCGCAAGTCGGCGCGCCTCATGGACCAGGACACGGACTTCGCGCGCCTCGCCGACATGGCGGGCGACCGCAAGCGCCCGGCGCCCTCGCACTCCATCGACGTGCCCACCGTGCACGGGTGAGTCCTCTCAGCGGCCGCTGCGGCTGGCGCCCCGCGCGCGGAAATGATTCGGCGGTCTTCGATTGAAATACGGTGCCACTTCAAGGTCGAGCGATGATTGGGGAGTGGGACACTGTCGTCCAATCGGAAGCTTTAAAACGAGTTAAATTTTTGATATTGGAGCTTCCGATTGGATGACGGTGTCCTCCTCTCCTTCCGGCTCGTGGCTTTGAAGTGCCAATATGTTTTAATGGGAGAATACATATATCGGTTTACCACGAAAGTATGGACACTAACCATAACGTACCAGCGAATTATCTCTGTCTTCCGTTTTAGAAATCACTTGGAATGTAGATACATCTTCTCCCTCTGTTATACAAAGGCCACTAAACTAATTTTACTTCTAAATGTTTGATACTAAATCTTTACATCTGAACGTCTCAATTCATCTATCTACCCCTTCTCTAATAGGAAATGCCCAAACAATATTCTTCGTCGCTTCATGATGTTTCAATGGTCATGTGCCTCAGACGATAAACTACCGCCTTCAACTCTAACACGACGTCTCTGCCAACGGCTTCCGCCTTCCAATTCCACGTTCCCTGTTCCTTGCATGGCGGTTATACTTTCGCGCGTCTTCCAGGCCGCTTGTACGCCTGTCCGCCCGCCCCCAAGCTAGCTCACCAGCTTGCCTGCCAGTCCATCAGCTTGCCTGTCTATCTGCCCATTTTCCTTCCCGCTTACCCGTCAGCCCGACAGCTAGCTCGCCCGGCCACTTACCCCCCCCCCCGCTTACCCGTCAGCCCTACAGTCAGCTCGCATCCATTAGCCCGGCCCTTTCCCCGCATGCTTACCCCTCGGCTCATCACCCAGCTCGCCCTCGAATTGCCCGCCCCTTACTCAACACGCTTACTCCCATTCCTCAGCAGCCCGCCCGCCCCGCCCGCCCGCCGCGCCCCGCCCCGCCCCGCCCCCCCGCCCCCGCCCGCCCGCCCGCCCGCCCGCCCGCCCGCCCGCCCCCGCCGCCCGCCCGCCCGCCCGCCCGCCCCGCCCCCGCCCGCCCGCCCGCCCCCCGCCCGCCCGCCGCCCGCCCGCCGCCCCCCGCGAAACACCGGCTCGGCTGGTCGCCAAGCCCGCCTCCGCCGCGGCCCAGAAAGCCGCTCGTTAAGCCGGCGCGGCACCACACGCTGAATCTCAAGTGGATGACGACGGGCACTTCGCTAGGGCTTCGCCCCGCCCCCCCCCCCGCCCGCCAGCATCTCTTCCTTGAGCCCCTGCGGCCACTCCCTCCGAGTGAATTAATGGCACACAGCGTTGACAAACGGTTCTAGGAAGAGAGAATCGCAACACCCAGAATGTCATATTCTACACAACACTATATTCAGATGTGGGAAACATTACTTGGTGTTATAACATCAACTGCTACAAGCACTAATATTAAATTTCCTAATAAGTAATCACTTAATAAAAATTTCCCATAACCAGTCACTGATTTAAATGATTCGCGTAAGCTCAAAAGAAATTTATGTACGAGTTAAGATGTTCTAGCATCAAAGATCGCTATTTTGATGGCATCTTTGAGGTTTCTCAATCTGTGAGAAATGTATAGAATGATGTATCAAAAGATGGGGGAATAAGAATACAACCAAAATGTTAAAACGCATGTAAATGGATAAAAACTAATGTAAACCCAAATAATAAATTACAACAAAAAGTAGATAAGATAGACAAAACGCTTCCTTAATAAGCGGCTCGACGGCAAGGATCATATGGATGATGATCAACTGATGACTGTGATGACCCATGAAAATAACGAAACATATGATTTAATCATGCCAATCTAAATTACTGATTGCAAAATAAATAAATATAATATTGATATTATATCTGTAAACCCAATATACCAAATGATCGCGTAACAGGATTTAAAGATGGAGCAAAGAAGATAAGCAATAATGAAACTCACATTGATCGATTTTATCAAGATTTTCGACTTCGTTGACTTCACGAGGAAAAAACTAGAAAGAAAATGTTAATCGTTCTTATACTCTGGTGTTTTGGGCGATTCTTCGAAAATGCTTAAGCAGTTTGTCCCAGGCTTTACTTTTCACACGTCTCCCTTGGGTCGCCCTCCCTGCCCTTTCTCGTTTCCGCTCCCAGAGCTTGAGACTTCACGTGGCTCCACTGGATGATCATATCAGTGGTCGGCCCCCCGCGTCCCGGTCCTGCCTTGGGCCTTCCGGGTTTTCTTTCACGGGGCCGCGCTCTGGTCTCTGCAGCGGCGACGATAAAAGCGGCTTTCGCGCGATGGCCTTCACTATCTCGAGCTGCTCTTCACGGGGATAAGCTCTTAAAGTTCGCTCGCCCCAAATTTTTATTTCTCCATCACTTAACGCTTCTTCATCATCAAAAAGATTCTCATCAACAAAAACAATAATTTTCATCATCTGTATATTCGTATATCTCTTAAAGTATATCTATCTATCTCTATCTTAGCTGATAAGAACTGTATAATTTTCAAGTTTTTTTTTGTTTTTGTTCGGATAAATTCCATAATTCTTTTTAAAGTTAAGATCCCCATTGTAAAAAAAAATGCATGTCTCGCCTACGTAATTATAAATTCAGCACGTAACTATTCTAAGTAAGAATATATCTGACAGAGCCTGAGATACGGTGCTCTATCGAGCCAATATTGTTAAAAATTGAAAGATTTAAAATAATCAAGTAAGTATATATATATATAGGTATATATAGTGATAAAAATTATATATATTATTATATCACGATTTTTAAATCTCAGATTTGTAATCATTTGTCGCTGGAAACCTTCACGTAGTTTGTTCATCACTAATAGCTGCCTTTACCGAACTCGTGTGGCCCCAGGAACCCCGAACGAGCGGGTGGGAGACGTCACGCAATCTAGTCACACTGTTTGATGCAGCCTCGGCTGCTCCAGCTGGTTGTCTGATCTGACCGAGGGCCCTTCGCGACAAAACATGCGCGCCTAAGCTTTCCGAAGGCGCTGGCCCTCTCCGACCGCCCAGCGCGATAAGGTCGGGCTGGGGCTTTTGTCGACGGCGTCGGGCGGGCTGCCGATCGGGCGTGGCGCGGGGTGTGCGCGGCGGCGCCGGGGGCGCCGGGACGGGCGCGGCGGCGCTCTGGGGCGCGCGCGGCGGGGTGCGCGCGTGCGGGCCGTCGGGCGCGGCGGCAGCGGGCGGGCGCCGTTCTGGGCCGAGCGGTGGCGGGGTGGGTGCGGCGGTCGCTTGGGGGGTCGCCCCGGGGGGTGCGCGTGGGAATCAGATTTGGGCGCGTGTTTTTCGTTTTGCTCCCGGATCTGGAGAACACCTGGTCGGGCCGCCCGCCGCCGTTATGAATGTTTTCTCGCTCAGCGATGGCGGCTGTTAGCGGAGCATCAACGCGGCTGCCGAGTGTCAAGATCCGTAAATGTTGATGACGCTGTTGGGTGATTGTTCGTGAGGGAATGATTTGTCACCCGAGAGAAACCAGAATCCTTCGTGGATTTTAAAACTTAAATATGTGTACCGGAAATAAAATATTTTATTTGATTTAAATTTAGTACATCAGGAATTTTGCAGGTGTCGAATCTGTCTATTAATATCTTCCTAGTCTTGGTGAATACTGTTCACATTAACTATGGACATGGATTCATTTAAAATAGGTTAACGTTATTTTTAAAATGTTCTCAAAAAAATCGAACCCTTTCACATGCCCTGTTTGTCTTCGCATTTATTTCGTACATATTTAGGAATAAATTAATATGCTGGCAATATCACTCTGAATCACGCTGAAGTTAGTCTCCGAAAATCGCATGAATTGTTTTAGTTTCACTAGTGTTGGTTTACTGGCAGGTTAGAAAACGCAAGGAAATCACTGAATCGTGAGCGTAATGCATAAAAGCTCAACTGTTGCTGCGTCCATTGTATAAATATTAATACCTCGCAGTCAATGGAAATATTTTGGAAAAAACAAATTCAAATGAGTGTCATGCAATATGTTTTCTGACCAGCTGCATAAACTCAGCAGCTCATTGCGTATTGGAAGTGAGGTGCATGAAAGAATGCATTGCAGTGGAAAGTATTACTTGTTTTCCTTAACAGTTAGCGCTCTTTTGTCAACACTGAACGGGCATGACCGACATTTATTGTCGTGCTCACTGATACCTAAATGAGGTCTAACAGCTTTTCACGTTGTAGACTGCGTTACTTGGATGTTAACGTACCTCTGCGAATGACGTGAAAGGACGGCAGCAGGACAGGCGTACTATTGTGCTGCGTATCATAGGTTTTGGTTTCTTTTGAGATTACATGCGCGATACCCGTAATATTGCATATTAGGTAGGTTTCACAGCTGTCCACCAAACTACTGGGATTAATTTCCTGCTTATTTACTGAACATTCGCACGTGCACGCGTTGATTATAGCTGCCGTATTATTTTTATTAACTTGCAACAACATTCTCATTAAAGAAATATTTCGTTTTGTTAAAGTTATAACAGTTATTAAAAACATGAGTTCTAGCAAATGGACAACGGGCTATTAGCAAATGTCTGTGCTAATAGTTAGCCAATAAACAATAGAGAACATGTGAATCGGGGAAAAAACTTGGCTGTCGAAATAAGAAGGCACAGGAAAGCCAACACTGCCAACTCTACGCGTCTTACAACCTTGACGAAACACTGCTTGCAAATGCAATCGAGTACGTCTCCCTCCACCCCAACACCACCTTGCTTTCTCGAATATCTGAAAGGAGACGCTGGTGATGGCGGATGCAATGGAGGCGGCGATGACGGCGGCAGAAGGAGCGGCATTATGGCGTCTATTCAGCCCCTCCTTTTCACATACGTTTAACAAGAGTCTAGATGTTAGTGTCTGGAAAGTTCTTCTTTAGAGCTATTTTCCCTTCTATCTTTATTTTCATTCACACTCATATTCGGTCATGCATTTATGTGTGCAGAATACATTCACTCGCTCATACACACGTCACTGCACTATTTAAAC